CATAATCCGCGCGCGCGGCGCTCAAACACAATCGGCAACGTGATATCACAACCAAATCGCATTCCGCGGCGACTTCGCAGTGGCGGAACAACCCCCCCGAAAAGCCATTTGGACGCCGATGCGGCGCTCCTGCAGAGCCTGTGCGTTTGCAGAGTGATGAATCTGTGTTAATTGCTAATTTTAGTTGGCCAAAGCTAAATTCATCGCCGCCATCGGCGTGTCTGTGTGCAAAAGGAGAGTGAATATTGCACACGCTGAAGCATATTCAAACATATTATGCAAATAAAAGAGTTAAATATGTGCTCAATTAGTGCATCTGCAATTTGTGTGACTGGCGGCGTTCAGTGGAGGTGAAAAACATCATCTTCGCGGAGGCAAAGACGCTCCCGAATCATTTTCATCGCGCGCGCGCGCGCGTCTGGCGAGCAATTTTGCAAATGTTTTTCAGTGGAAAACAGGAAGTGCAAAAGGAGAAAAATGACTGACACAGAGTTGCGAAAAAATACTGCAATTTTCCCCCGCCTTTCCTCCAAAGAATGTGCAAATTTGCTGAGCACCAAAAGCAAGAGCACAACTCAACAAATTCTCAAAGATTGCAATTTCCTTAACGCACTTTTTGCAGTTCCATTGAACTTTTCTTTTTCAACAAAATTCCACGCACAACGGAATTTCTTTGATGATTTGGCCGAAAAGGAATTTCGCTCGACGTTTTACATTAATTCGAACAGTCAACTGAAAAAGTCTAGCAAGAATTGTTGGCTTGAGCGTCTTTATCCCAACTTGTCGACACTTACCGACATTACCCGACACTTATCGACAAGAATTGAATGCGATTTCCTCTCTTAAACACAATTTTAGGGGGGAAATGGGACTAATTAGTCTTTAGATTGTCGATTTTAATTGTTTTTCTCCCGAGTTTGTGTTAATTTTTGGTTAAAACTAATTGTCGATCACTTTAAATCCGGTGTAATAACTCCTTAAGTTGTTTAGTTTTCCTCTTCAACACTGAAACTTTTGTCTTCAGTATCAAAGACATTCGGAGACGGTTGAAAAGCCTAATTGCTACCTAAGTATATGAAGAAATTTACCTGAAAAACGTCTTCAAAACAATCCAATTGAGCTCCTTTCGGTCATTTTGAGTCGAATGTGTGTGTTTTGATAGAGATATTGAGCAAATTTCGACGTGTTTACTCGAAAAACAAAGGTCTTGAGGGTCGTGAAAATGGCAGAATTCAACTCAGCTGCAGAATCTGATGTCAGATTGAAGATTCCAGGTGGATAGGAGCGAAAACTAGGCGTCTTGTTGGGCGCCTAGCGCAGTTTCTGAGTTACCATGTGTCCGGACATTGACCGTTTTGCGTGTGTGAGAATGTGTTGCTGCTCGTGTAATCGTATCACAATCCATCTTTTTTCCAACCCAAGAGTGATAAGCGTGAATTTTGTTCATTTCCTGTAAATATCACACAAAATGCCTGGGTGTTTGCCCAGAGACTCAATGGGAGCTGTGTGATTTTTGGGGTGTGATTAGGGGGGCCCTGGGGCGGATGTGAGGCGGAATGATAAGCGTGATCATGGGTAGACGTGTAAATTGAATTTGTGACTCTTTAGCATACAGGCCGTACCTATTTGGAAATCGCCCAATGTGACTCTCCAAACCAAAATAGACAAGCACACGTCTCCATCGTGGCCAGTGGTGGAATTCAATTGGGAAGACAGACAGGTCATTTTAGGGAGGAGACACCAATTTCTCAACAAAGCCCCGGGGGAGATAAGATTAGTCTCTCTCTCTCTCCATTGATCCTCTTCTGTACACCATCAGCTTGGAGACAATGGAAGTGTCTTCTCTCTCTCCCTGTCCATCTCTCAATCACTGCGCCGATAAATCAATGGGCATCATCGGCTTGCGAAGGCGCATTTTTCTACCCTCTTTCGAAATTCCGTCCGTTAAACTTTCGCACGCCTTTCGGGCCCAGGAGAGATGAGATGAGAGACTTTGAGAAAATCGTCTCGATGGAATCGTGCATGTCGTAGTCTTGTTGTTACGATATTTTCTCATTTCCTGTTTACATCTTTTCTTGAGAGGCGCAGAGCGCTCGGGGGCTCCACCACATTGACATTTCGGGCCTCGGCGACGCCTGACAGGCCGCGCACACACTCTCGTTGATCTTCTTGCGTCTCCTGGCGACACAATCATTTTATTGAAGGTACAACTCCGCTCTGTAGAGGTGTATTAATTAGCTATTACCGAGTCAGATCACGATCGTGCCGGAGATGATCTCACAATTCACTGTCAGCCAAATGAGGTGGAATTAGCGAGGCAGAGGCACACAATGCACTCCCTCTCGCGCCGCGCATTGTTGGGACTGGAATTACTGGAAGTGGCGAGAGAGAGAGAGATCGGAGGTGGGCTGAATTTTAAGCGCTCTCGAGCCATACTTAAGATCCCCCCAAGAGTTGAACAATTCTGTTTGTCCATTCGATTTCCGGATGGAAACCGCGCCAGCGGAAACGGATAGAAGTCGCCACTCTGCGGTCTAGATCTGTAATTCACTCCCTCCAATACAGGCGCGCTCATCGGGCATTTTTCACTCCATTTCCACACTATTTCACATCTCTCCTCTCTTATCATGCAACAGAGCCAAATGCGCTTATATGGCGCACGGAGGGAGGCTAGCGGATAGATGCCGCTGGGCGCGAGTGCGAGCGAGATCGGCGCAGCGCGTGCGACTGTGTGCGTTCGGATAGAGAATGGAAATTATTTGAGAGAGTCACAGCGAAGAAAAAAGGCATAATTCTATGTATATTTATAAAAGCAATCTACTTGAACTTAACCAATAAAATATAACCAATAAAAAGTTTACAATAAAAATAAATGAAGCAGAGGAAAGACGATGTGCGCTGGTGTGTGTGTGTCGTCGTCCATCTCGCTCGCACCCATGCGAGATCGTGCGAGAACGCGAGCGCACGATGTTGAGAATGGACGAGTCCATCTTTCTTGGCGGCTACGATGAAGATGCAGGGGAGGCCACATCGCCTCATCCGGCAGTGCTGCCTCTCGCTCGCACCGCCGCCACCAGCAGGCGGCGCGAGTGGGACAGACGCCGGGCCTCGATCGACCTGCAAGAGAGGACACAGAAGAATCTGTGTTCCAAGGAACAATCATCACCCTGTTGTCCTCCTTCCACGCACACACCAATGGCCGCGGACACGGAGCAAAAACCCGCCACTTCCGGTCATTCATGAGACATTTTCACCTTGATAACTTTCTTGGCAGATAAAAATCTGTGCGATGCCTCGCTGAGTCCAAATGTCTAATTTCCTCTCCAGATTCTGCAGATTATCTCTTCCTCCTCCGTCTCGCTCGCGCACATTCATGATAAGCGCCGATGAACTGACTCTCCGCCGTCCCCGGCTCTCCTTCCTTCTCCCGAAATTCTTTTTTTGCCCTCTCTTCTCTCGTCTTCTTGTCTTCTGGGGAGTTGCGATAGCGCACCCAAATCCCGGCTTGATAGCGCCTCTTCCTCCACTCGTGCCGTCTCGCTCGCGCTGTCTGAATTGAAACTAGATCGCTTTTATCTCTGTCGGTCGTCTAATGATGAAATTTTGATTAAAAGCCCCATTCATGTGTGCGATGAATGAGGGGCCTTTATTGCTCGTACACTCTTGAGAGTAAATAGACCTTCTATCAGCTCTGGGGGACACTGATAAGCCCCAAATGTCCCTTGAGCGTCTGATGAATCCCATGGAGCAGAATTTCTAACTGTTCACGAAACCGTGTTACTACGAAGATGGTGTGTGTGACTTTCGTAGCGTGTAAAACAGGGCAGTTTGGCCGGAAGTAGAAATTACTCAACTTTCAGTGTGCGAGGAATTCTTATTCAGCACACTTTTGTGCGATCGTCTCGCGAGGACGGAATGATAAGTAATTAGACGACACTCCTGCAGAGAGCCTAGAATCTTGGGATGCCCTGAAATCGTGCAAGAACTCATCGTCTTGGCTGCATTTGCATGATTTATTCGTTGGCATCGGCCGACCGGATATGATCGAATCGTCGGCATATGTCGGAAGTCGGAGATCCGGTGAGGAAAGAGCATGAATTGTACATTGTGTGAATTGTAATTGGAGTCATGGGACAGTCGCGCGCGCGTTCTGCCTTTTCATCTGCGACGGGATGCGGAGGCCCGCAGATGTCCATCCTTTTTCGTGAGCCACGTGGCCGTTTTCCCCCGAAACATATGCACCCGACGCCATCTATATGCCCGCCCGCCTCGCCGCACCACACTCGCCAACATATCAATAAACTAATTTTATGCTCTCGCATGTTTCATGAATAGTGAGCATTCATGGCACGTTCATGAACATTCCGCCCGTCCGTCCCGCCGCCCCGCCGCGCGCACACACACACACAGGCGGCGCGGGCTAGAGCGAGAGGAGGCCATTGGTGATCGCCGTGGCGACGAGGAGAGCGGCCGAGAAAGCAAGAGCTGTGATTTTGTGGTGATTTTTCGTTGATGAAGCCTCAATGTAACGGATTGGAGTCGACTTTTCGATACAGGCCGCCGATGGATGGGACGCGGCGCGGGGGACGCGCTGGGGTTTTATTCACGATCCAACAGACGTGCTTTTTTTGTCATCCACGATCGAAGGAGAAACGTGGCCAAACATTAATCTGCAGCTCTCTCGCTTCCACCTTCAATTCAACTTTCGAGCTCGTGATCGCCCGATCGTCGGCCGAGCGGCGATCGGCCACCAACACAGCCATGGTGCGCTCGTGTGGCGTCGTGGTGTGCGCCAGAGCGGGATGGCGCTATGGCGGTGGGCGTGAGTGCGAGAGAGAGGCGAGAGAAGCCGATTCGCCTCTCCCTGTAAAATACTCCATTCATTATGGCTGCTTCATTCATAAAAACCTTCAAGCCACTAGAGGCGCTTTTTATCGACTCCGCCGCTGTGCGTGTGTTGGCTCGTCGGTGTGTCGGCGTGTTGGTGGCTGTTTGGGGCACCGCCTCTCCTCCTTCTGCGCATGCCGACCCCCTCTCAGTCCATCCGCACTCACACCACCCCAGGCCGTGTCGGGTCGGGCCGAGTGGAACATTTATCAGTCGTTTGAGGAATTTCTGCTGAGACGGACCGCATCGCAGCGCGTCGTGACAATTTTCCTCACACTCTTGTACTGAGAGGCACTCTTGGCAAAGTGGAGAAGAAAAAAAAAAGTAAAAAAAGAGAGCGAGAGATCCCCCGAAGAAAGCGATTACGTTAGCACACACACGGGAGAGACTCAAGACACCCTTTGTGAACAACTTGTGAACTTGTGCGTGATCCCCAAAGTTGCCACACACTTCCGCCCCGCAATTTTTGCACGCAGTCCCGCTGGAAAGTGGCGTTTCGGAGTGGTTGTTCTTGTGGTGTTTGGCCAAGGCATGGGCAGTGGGCCCAGAGAGGTGCAATGAGGTGAAAAAGTGGCAGCGTTCCTCTTGGTGGTGCTGTGAAATATTCCGCGCACAGTGTTAAACGATCCCAGCGACTTATCCGAAGTGCAGTGTGACAACAATTGGCAGAATTGTTGTTGATATCTTGCGCGTTCTAAATGAAATGTGACGAAATGGTGTTGAGCGGAGGTGAAACGAAATTGGTTTAGGCGAACAACTACACCACTTTTTTCTCTCTCACAAATTCTGTATTCTGAAAAATTCGAAGTTAAACGAGAGAAAGAGAGAGAGAGTTCTGAAAGAAAGAGTGCTAATAGAGAGTGTGCCATTGGTTGAAAGATGTGTTGCCACCTATGGCCAAACATTGGATTAATATTGGATACATTTCTGCATCAGTCGACTTTTTGGATTACCAGATACCACACCTAATTGCTTTTCAACACACATGTAAGTCCGCGCTGTCCGCTCGACTGATAAACCCCTTGCGTGTCCGTCCGTCTGTGGTGGCTGTCTGCATTCCTCCACTGCAGCACAGAGTGCAAGAGAGAGGGAGATTTCTCGGAATGGAGCAAGACAGAGAGAGAGAGCGCAACACTGCACATTTGCAATTGTTGACCGAGAGGAAAAGGCAGCACACAATGTGTGGCTTCGGGAGGAGAGAGGCGCGAAGGAAGCGAAGTGTGAGCGATCTTTTTCAAGAAATGGAGATCACAACACACGAGAGGAGATCTCTTTAAATATAAAGAAACACGCAGATCGGGCAGTGTGAGAGGGAGAAGATGATGAGTAAAGGAAAAAAAAAAGAAGAAAAGATCGCTCTGCGAAGTGCGCGCTGTGTGTGAAGAAGAAGCAAAAAAAAAAGACGAAACGGCCTTGTGTCTTACAAAATCGCCCGGTTATTTTTTCATTCGGGCGCGCTGTTTTCTTTCAATAAATACATTTGTACATTACCAAGTGGAATTGTATACATGGCGCCTATATACACAAATTAATTAAAGAACGGTTAACGCAATAAATAAAATCAGCCACAGAGAGCCATTCATTCATGAAAATAAAATATATAGTGAGACATACTTTCGAAATAATCGCGCCACACCGAACAGTCCTCACGACTTGTCCAGCCTGCGGAGCTTTTGTGTGATACCAATTGGAAAAGTCCAAGCAAAAACCCAAGAATTATGTAACACACGCCGTCTTTTGCCACCTTCTATTGCGTCTCGTGAACACTTTCCTTGCTGGCTTCTTACAAATTATCAATTTATCACATTGGCTTAAAAGTGATTGACAATGAATTTTTGCACGATATTAGGGGAAAAGTAGTCAAAACGACAATCTAAGGGACTAATTAGTCCTGTTTTCCTCCTGAAAAGGTGTTTAAAATAGCAAATTTAATTAATTTTGTATCGATAAGTGTCAGTAAGTTCAATAACTTACCGTCAATTCAACGTAATGGGATAATTTCCTAATCCTTGCTAGTTTTCTTCGCCACTGCGCAAAGATTGCGTGAAAAATATAGTGGAACATATTCATGAATGAACAGACTTTATAGCGCGCTTGTCAATGTGCCTCGAGTGACAATAAATTGCTTGTGAGTGAAAAAATTCCATTTCCATTTACGGTCATGATTTTTTACCGTGCGTGTGTTTTTTTTCTCTCTGTCTTCATTTAAAAATCGCCACAAGTGTTTAGTCAGAATTCACTTGAAAAATCGTCACGTTTTTCCTTTGTCGAAAAAGTTTGGATAAAATTGGAATTCCTGTACGGGTTTTTTGAGGGGGGAAGGAAAAATGTCAGCAATTGACGTCACTGATGAGAAATGCTGCGTAATCTTTGGGGGCTGCCAAACACGCGCAATGCACTTTGGCCAAGAGTGAGAGAGAGAGAGAAAGACGGTGGAAGGTTTTGAGGTGGACAAAAAGTGGCCACGTTTGCCTATTAAATGCCACACTTGCAGTTTCATTCACAAAAACCCAAATGCAGGGGCGAATGAACTCTCTCTGTGGTGAGCGCGAGGAGGGATTTTTAGGATCCGGAAGTGATTTCTCTCCCGCATGACAATGACTTTCTCGATGGCTTTTCAACACTCAGAGCATTAAGACTCTCCGGGGCTCTCAATGTTGAAATCACAGTCGGATGTTGGCAATTACGTTGTGTGCCTGAGAAACTATGTGTGTGCGGCGCCCGTCATCCGGTGGAAAGCCGAGAGAGCCACGCACAGGGGCCCATTTTCCCATTTCTCCTAATGAGGACACTTAGCACACTTCACTCTCCCGTGTGCGTTAGATTTATCCCTAATTTCTCTCGCCACTTCCGGGCTGAGAATTGCAGTCGAATGTCTGTGAATTTCTCAATTACTTTTTTTCCCCACTCTCTGGCGCTCGAAAAATTACACATAATAGTGTGTTGGATTCACGAGAAATCTTGCAGGTCATTTTCCCACTGGCCGGAAGTGTGCAATTTCCTACTCAATGGGATGCAATTAAGCCCAAGTCTTGTGGATTGACTTTTCGGGCTTAAGAGAAAAACTGCCCTTAAAACACACTCACAAATGTGATTTTTTTTCCGTTGTTTGAAAGCATTCCTGCAAAAGGTGGAAATTTACTGATATTTGCGCTCAATTCACAAGATATTTTTCAACTGTTGATGTGTGTTTGTTTTATCACTGATTCACATTATTTTTTCAAGTTCACACTTGCGTGTGTCAAAGAAATTCCTCATCATGAAACTATTTTCACGTGGTCACATTCATCTTCTCATTGACAGAATATTTTCTTGAGAAAGAGAGAGGATTTTTCCTCAATTGCCAGACAAACACACACACTCACACACTTTTCCCCGCTCTCTCTGTGTGAAATGTGAGGAATTTTCAATGATTATTTTTCGCTGTTTTTCGCGCGCGCGGGAAAACAACCAATTTTACCTTTGGCGTTTCAATTTGACGTCACTTGATCGGCGCTTATTCGCGATGGTATTTTTAGCCAGCAAAAGCCAGCAAAAGCTAGCAAAGTTTTGTGAGAAAATGTGCCTGAGAATGTGTCTTGTGAAAATGTAATCAATTTGGCGATCCTCTTGAATATTTTCAAAAGACAGAGAGCGAGAGAGACTTTATGGTCATCTCGATGCGACATCCGCTTGTGATTAGTATTTAATGACTTCAAATGTCACCTACAGCTTTACTTTTACGGCTTTTTAATCTTTTTCCGGGAGCTCCAAAGCATTCCACAAGACAACACTCTCTTGGCGCGTCCTTAGCGCGCGCGAGAAAAAAAGTGAGAATCTGTGCAGTGCAGAAGACGATCGCGCGGTGTGTTGTTGGTTTTGGGACACCTCTGGTGGCGATGTTGAATTTATTATTAGCACATTTTCATTCACAAGAAAACATGGCAAAATGTTGACGTCGCGTCTGCGCTGTGCGCATGTGTGGCGAGATATTATTTCGAAAGTTTAGCGCCAAATGGGCTCTTTTGGGGGGAAGAGATTTTTCGCCAATGATGGGCGAGAAAAAAAAGCCGCATGTTTACACTGCGAAAAAGTCACTTCCGTGCGCAAATCTGCGCCGCCCAAGAAGACACGAAAACACAAGAGGTCAAAGGGAGATCATGCTGTGAAAAAGATGGTGTTTCAACTCTTCTCGCGGTGGCTTTTTTTCCGCCACTCGCGTTTTTCCTCAATGAAACCATGTCTCATGACGTCAAAGTGGCTTGAGAATAGGCTTCGCGCGCCTCTGCAACTGGCGAATGTGTGCGCCTGTGTGTTGGCATAAACATAAATTTAATGATAGTGAATTTCACACAAGCTCTTTCGCAATCGGAAGACTCACTTCCGGTGCTGAGTTTATCGTCGAATTTAATGTACACAGAAAAGAAGGGGAAGGAGAAGAAAAAAAAGAGTGCTGCATGGCTCAAGACAGCCGTGATGCCACACCCTGTAATTTCTCGCGATTCACATTTTAACAATATGCTCTCTCGCTCTCACCACATGCACACACTGCTCAAACGGATGTACGACAGTGTGACCCCTGAAGGCCATTTAATACCATTTAAATACACACCGTGACGTCAGCGCGCCAAAAGATGGTCACCTCTGGCGCGGCGCTCGGGAAAATTGCGCGCACACTGGAAAAATCACGCCCGTATCAGTGCGGAAATGTGCCGATAAAATACACTATATCTAATATGATGGGGTTGACAATATATTAAGTGTGGCGATTTTGGCGGGAAAGCGGCGCGCGCGCGAGTTTGTGTGCGTGAAAGGAAATTGAATAACAAGACACTGGTGATCAAATAGTGGATGTTGGGGAATATTTAACATCAGCACTGTCTTTTTTTTTATTCGCCATGACCGAAGATTAGAATGCCACAAGATTAGCCAAGCGTGTAAATTTTCTCTCTTGATATGAGAGATTTTGCGAATTTGTTGACTGGTGAAGTCACATCGGGAGAGAACCCTTTTCACCCCTCGGAGAAAAGGGGTTAAGACAATTTCCGAGTGGAGCAGCAAGAGCGGGAAAATCAAGTTCCCCAACGCAGCTATTTATATCAAAAACCCATTGTCAGGCATTATCTCATGAATTGTGTATTTATTGTGTGTGTGGGGAAAAATTACATCTCGCGGATTCTGGGATAGTGACAAGGCGCGCCGAGGGAGAGTTGAGAGTCTAATGAACTCTCTCTCCTCCCTGACGACGTGAGGGACGCGTTTTTTCACAAATGCCGACGGACATTTGCTCCTCTTGTTTTCTGCATACAAAATACCTGTCGTTGCACCGATTTCTTGTCACTTTCATCAGCAAAGTCGCGATAAATTCAATTCAATTCATTCATTAGCAGCAATTAATTCACATTGAGAGATTAATTAATTAATCGGAAACGGGATTTTCATGTTTAATGGCGTCATTCTATCATTTTGCGGTGCTTCGCGTTCTCTTGTACTTGTTGTTTTTTTTTCCTAATTGAGACCTGTTTCAAGTCTTACATTCTTCCTTTCTGTCTCTTTTCATTCTTAGAGCCGCGATGCATGTCGCGCCTGTGTCTTGTGGGGTGGACAGAATTCTCATCTTCTCACAGCCACTGTTTGATCCTCTGTGTTGATATGTTTTCCCCCCACGCACGACGAGGACATTGTGACGTGTCTCGAGGTGTTTAACAGTGACTTGTGTCAAAACAATTGCTGCAATTGCTCAATTTGCAGCACAACTTCCGCTTGGCACAGTTTGTGTCTTCTGTGTTGGGCGCAAAAGCTGATGAATCAGCCGGTTTTCTTGAATCTCTCTGATTTCAAGCTGAAGGATTTCGACACTCGCCGGAGTCAATTCATTTCCGACGAATTTCAGGCGGCACTTAATCTCCGGCGAGCGTCCATTTTTGGAGTGAGAAGCGCACATTATCAGAAAAAGCGAAGAAAAAATGTGTATTACATTTCCAATGGGAGTTGAATGCCCTACATCCTCGTGAGTGTGTTGGTTCTTCTCGGGTGGGAATTGATGGGCACAATTGGTGATCGGCGCGGGTTCATCAACGAATTTGTCCAGTGGGAAAAATGGTCACGCTGGTGACTTTCTGGGGTCGCGCCACTTGGGAAGCTGGCGAGCGAGCGAGCGAGAGATTCCAGCACTCTCAACATGATCTCATGTTTCAATGCGTGTGCTTTGGACTCTTCAATAGAAGAGAAGACTCTCTTGTGTCTTCCAGGAATACAGGTTTTAGGTTCAAAGATTATACTTGTTCTTTTTCCCTCAACTATTCTCCCTCTCATGGCTCTTCTGTCACGCTCTCGCTTCATCTCATGTTTTCATCGTGTTTTGCTGTTGCTCCTTCGGCGCATGAATGTGTATCTCTCGCTGGGCTTCTTGTATATAGTCCTCCACCTCTTCTATACATAGCCACAGTTGATCACGTTGAGTGTGAGCTCAAGAATGAACCTCAATGACGAGCGCGATGTGCGCCGATCTCGTTCATTATTCCGCCGCGCGCGCAGATCATCTGCGCGCCCTCTCCGCATTCCTATCGCCCTGCGACATCTTTGCGCCCCGAAAAGTGCTTGCGATGGCGGGATTTATCAGTTGGCCGCCAGTGTAGGCTCGTCGTCTCGCTCGCGCGCTAGATAATTATAAACTTTGACATTGTGTGCATCGCGCGGTATCGCGGGCTGAATGCAACGTCGTCCAGATGAACTCCAATATCGCGCGCCCAGGCATTCCAATCGGAAGCTTATCGCGCACAGAGAGAGTCTCGAGGGGTGGCTCGGGCGATTGACACACTTAAGAGACTCCCTAATGCTTTCCATCTAGCGGCGCGATTCGGCGCCGAGTGGCTCCCAATGTTCCCCAGAGAGAGATAAGTCAAGGTGGACTTGTAAGAAGCTCTGCATAATTAATAAGTCGTTTAGACGCCGAACAGTTGCGCGCGCGTATCAGTTTTTGAATCGCTTTTATTGCCTCTCCAGCATAATTTTGTTGATCTTGGGCGCTACTGAAACCTGAAGATAACGTCTCCCTCTCTCCCTCTCGCCCGTGAGATCTTAAGCAGCGGCCGATAAGACTGTGAGAACTGTGAGTGATGAAAATGTGTCTCTTCTTCTCTTTTGCAGAAGGCGATTACGAGAAAAAAGGATGACGGATCTTGGAGGACCCCGGCTGACGCTCCGAGGACGTTAGTTTCATCTACATGGATCGCAGGAATGGCGGCGATCCTCTGGCGCCGCCCCGGCCCCCGAAGTCAACACCCCGAGTCCATCGCCCCAGGGCCCCCGAGCCGCCGATGATGAGCGCCCCGCTGATCGGCGCTCAGCACCCCGCAGCCCCGTTGCCACCGCGCCAGGCGGCCGTCCCGCCCCCGCCGCTGCGACCGGCGGCCGCCCCCACGACAGCCCCCCTGGCGCCACTTCAGTCAAGTATTACGTTCTCGCGACGGCGTCCGCCCGCGGCCGCCACGCAGGGCGGCGGGGCGACATTCCCGCACCTCGAGACGCCGGCCAACGTGAGCCTCGTGACGCCGCGGCCCGAGAACGAGCGCCTCGCGAATGAGTACGTGGACACGCCGTTCAGAAGCGGCGGGCCCGCGGCCGCGCTACCCCGCCAAAATGAGTCACCCCTGCTGACCGCCCAGCGGCCGGCGGCGTCCCCGAAGCTGTCGCCGGTGTTCCTGCCCGCCGCCGTGCCGCGGCCGGCGGCGCCGGCGGTCATCACGAAGCAGCCCGTCTCTTTCACCAAGGAGCTGCCCTCGGCGGCGCTCCACGAGGACGTGGACATTCACCCGTCCAACGGGGACAGCCTCAACTCGATCACGTGCCCACAGTGCAACCGCTGCCGCTGCGAAGAGTGCCAGCGGCCGCGGCAGCTGCCGTCGCGGTGGGTGTGCGACAAGACGTGCCTGTGCAGCGCAGAGACGGTCATCGACTACGCGTCGTGCCTGTGCTGCGTGAAGGCGCTCTACTACCACTGCTCCAAGGACCACGAGATGGACAACGGAGAGGGCGACAGCGTGTCCTGCGCCGACGACCCGTGCTCCTGTCTGCCCCACCGGCGGCCTACGCGCTGGGGCTGCCTGGCGGCGCTCTCGCTGGTGCTGCCCTGCCTGTGGTGCTACTGGCCGATGCGCGGCTGCGTGGCCGCGTGCGCCAAGTGCTACGCCCGCCACGCGCGCCACGGCTGCCGCTGCCCGCGCAGCAAAGCGCATTCCAGCGCCATCAGCTCACTGGTGAGCCTCGTGGGGACGGGCGAGCCGCCCGCCGCGCAGCCGCCCGCCACGGGGAACAGTGTGAGTAGTGTCATGGGCAATGTGAGCAGGACTTTCAGTGCGTCGCGCAATTGCGACTTGACGCCCGAGAAGCGATTGCTGGACTCGAGCCCCGAGTACTGAGGGGCGCGCCCAAAGTGACCCTGTGTCAAGTGGTGGTGCCAGATGGATGGACGCGCGCGGACTGGGTGCAGGTACAGTTCCCAAAACAACAAACAAAAACAGATGATTCAAGTTTTGTCTTAAGATCAAATCAACATCATTTCTCAAAACATTCATCCAACCAAATCGGCATCACTGATGACATAACATTTAGTAACCAAAGACTGCAAAAGTTTGATTGTAATAAATTCTTTTCTTAGAAATTTATATTTACTACAATTTAAATTTAAATAAAAAAAAAACACAAAATGAAGAAAGCATAAATATTAGTGAATGCGCTAAACGAATGAGAGGTTTAAATTGATTGTGAGGTTAGCGAGGGTGGTCTTGTTCTTTTTCTTTCTGTTTTCTTTTCTTTTCTTTTCTTTTTTTTGGTTTTCGGCGAGAGACAAAATTTAGCAACACACTTTTTGACATGATTTGTAGAAATTATGCACACGACGCGTGGAGCTCTTGAAGCGATGCACAGATTTTTCTCAATTTTCACCACGAAAATCGCGGGCAAAATGGCACACAAACGTCTGGTTTTCTGGCCTCTCTCCTGACAAAACCCATCTCAGTCCGTCTCGAATGCTGTTCACATCTCCTCTTTTCTTGTGAATAGAAACTGTAGAAGAGGAGGAGAAGGCAAACAACAACCAGATGGTTGTCCGATTTGAATCTTTCTGAGAAATTCTCGTTAGGATTCTTTTTTATTCATCAATTTTTCTCTCTCTCTCTGCACAACACAAGTGATCACAAGAGGAAGCAAAAGCCAAGAGAGAGAGAGAGATTTTTAGCCTGTGAGTTTAAAGAAAATCAGTTGCCACCTGTTTTGACCGTTTTATGGGCATCAACAGAGTGTGTTTTGTTGTATATAATTCCTCAATCTTTTCGCCCGTCAATTTCTCTCTCTCCTCCTCAATTGACAATGCACGCACATTTCGAGGAGACTCGCGACCGTGTGTGTTATCAATTGTTTCTTTTTCTGTCCCGCTTCCAACCAAATAGGTTATCACAACATTAAATTAACGAAATAAATAAATATGTGTGTACATTGGAGTATATTTTAAAAGCACGATGGGCTTTTAATAGAAACAAACCAATTTTTTCCGAAATAAATACATAAAAAGGTTTACAATAACGTAATGCTGTCTGTGCGTAAACCTCTTTTGCTCCTAATCTTCGGATTCTCTCGACCACAGAGATGATGATGATGGTTAGGAGCATTACAATAAACATCGTGTCCATGCTTCTCCTCTCAATTCACACGCGGAGGAGGAAAAAATCAATAAATGGAATGCGTTCTCGAGCTCCACGCGACGGCGGCGGCGGGGAAAATGAGGAAAAATTGACAAGAGCGAGAGTGAAAATTTAGAATCAGTAGAAACTCTATGCTAGACGCGGCCTCACTGCTCGGCCGCAGTGAATGGTTTTGGGCTTAAGCGCGGTGGTGAATCGAAAAGGGGATGCAAAAGAGGGTGTCGAAAGGATAGGCATAATAGAGGATGAAGAAAAAACTAAGTCTTAAACTACATTTACTATTTTATACGAGAAACAAAATGATGAATGAGAGGGAAAAAAATGTGGTAAGAGCGAGAGAGAAAGGGTTTTTTTTTGAGAAAAAGTAGCCAGAAGAAGAAAAAAATATCGAAGAAAGAGATATAAATAACGCATAACTAAATATTCTTTATAAAATATTTATTTTTAATGAATTACTAATTTAATTAATGACTATAATTGTATATTGGATTTATATATATTTTGTATAAAGTTTTTTTTTCACAAAAAAAAGATGAAAGAAAGTAATGAAAAAAACATTTCACTAAACAAAAAAAAAAGATGAGGAAGAAGAAGAAGTAATGAGCGCGCGCGAAAATAAAAGCACAAACATAGGAAGAAGAAAAAGAAATTATTTAATTTATTTGCAAAGAAATGTTGGAGGATAAAAAAAAAGTCTACAGATTTTTTTCTTTTCTTTTCTTTTTGAACTACATTTTACGGATTTTCTTTTTGCGTCAAAATTTAAGTTGAGCAGCACTTTCATTTAGGCATTGAACCAATTTTTTTTTGTAGAAATTAAAAATATATATTTTTGTTTTTTTTTGTCTTTTTAATAATCAAGAGGAAAACATAGTGAGATGAATTTTTGTATTCATTTCAAATTGAGCTGATGATTGACGAGCGAGCGAGAGAGAGAGAGAGAAAAATAGAATTTAATTTCCAGTATTATCTAGTCGAAACATTATTAATTGAGACTACAGTAAAAGGGTAATGAAGAAAATTGTTTTTATCATTATTGAAAATGATGTGTTTTTATAAGAGGATCAGAAAAAAAGTTCAATAGTAATTCAAATATGCGCAGCATTGGCGAATGAAGAGCGTCGGTATTAGTGAGAGAGAGTAATTTGTTTCTTGATTTCTAGCAGGATATTTTTGAGAGCAAAAGAAGAAAGAAAAAATCGCGTAAAACATAGAACCTAATCCAGTGGTGGCGTCGCGACGACAGAAGCAATTTCCACCGAAGCTGCGCCACTGCTTTTCCCAAGCCAACAGTCCTATATTTTAAACTCTCCTTCTAGACGTGATAGCGTAAAAGAATACTTAAAAAAGGGACGAGCGAGAGAGAGAGAGAGAGAGAGATGAAAGAGCATACAATATTCCAATAAATACTGATATTATAGAGAAAAATATGATAAAGTAAAACTACAATGCTGTAGCGAAAAAAAAGTGAAATTTATATGTGTTAAACATTGCAAAGTTGAATAAATTTGTAAAAGAGTATGGAAAAAAAAGTAAATCATTTCCTCGATTATGCAATTAAATGTTATGAACACAAACACACACGAAAAAAATTAATATCCATGCAACAATTACCTGTTCATTATTATTACCTCTCGTAAAAATAATTGCAACAAAATATAGGTGGAAATAACTCTAAATAAAAAAAGAGAGAAATATTACAACTCTTCGTAGTAGTAATTTTTTTTTGTTGTATAGAAGAAGATGAAAAACAACAACAACAACAGAGTTTAATAGATAAAAAAAAGAACACCTTCTCTTTCTTATGCGAACCATTTAAAAATGAGCCTCAGTGGGAATTTATTGAGAAATAACAATATATAGATGTGAAAAAAAAATTATGACAAAACTATGGAAATAACTCTTAAAACGGTGTAAAAATTGCTTGAAAGAATTTAAAATTAAAAAAAAATCAGACCCTCAAATATAGCGAATGATGAAGTAATAAAAAGGAAAAAAACCAACATAAAGTACAGCAAAAATGGGTGTAAAAACCAAGTCAATACTTATAATAATTTTCACTATAATAATTATTTCTTTTTTTGTAACATTGTGAAGAGATGAAGAGGGAGTAAAAAGTTTATAAAGCAACAAAAAAAATGAATAATTACAAGAAGTGAGGAAAAACATTGTCACTGTACCTACAATTGTAAATTTAATGTTATTAAATATTATCTTCTGGATATGATTAAAAAAAAGAGAGAAATTAAAGGATGTAATTCAGAGAGAGAGAGAGAGAACGAGAGAAAGAAAAGGTTTGAAGGAAAAACTTATTAATTCACAAGAGAATGAGAATATCTGAACCCCGAATATTGGAGAATGAGAAAATTGTTTTTAAAGAGTAACTAAAAGAAATATGAATATTAAAGGAGAAGCAAGAGAGAAAAAGAGGTGAATGATGGAAGAAAATGAATGATGCGAGCAGTGTTTTTTGTCAATGGAGTTTGACAATTGGAGGTAAAAATGTAAGGAAGAAAGTAATACAAAAAAGATAAAAAGAAATCCTCTGTAAATGTTTGTACATATTAAAAATTATAATTATCTAATGTTAATAACAAGCGACCAACTTAAAAATTAAAACAACATGCTTTTTTATTCCTTCTGTTTGATTTTCTTCTTCTTTTCAATTTTTGCTGCACTTTTCCAATTCGTGCGAATTCGAGTTTTGTTTTGTTGCTGTGGCAAAAGTGCGACTTTGGATTCATCTCAAAGGTTTGTCTATTGCGTGACCCACTCTTTCATCATAATTACCTGATATAAGACATGATAATTTGTTTTCTAATTAATCACTTGCCATATTGCCTTCCCAATTACATGCGTAAATTGGATTTTTCACCACTAATTGAGGTGTAATAATTGAGCAAATTGAGCAGTGTTTTAGGCCAATGAGGGGCCCTTTTCGGGGCCACGGCGCGCTCAAATGGCCGATGCCTGAGTGCGCGCCGAGACTCTTGTGAGCTATTTTAGCCTTTTGACTCATTCCCGACTTCCTCTGAGACCCGTTTTCTCTTCCACGCGACCCTCTCGCTCGCGCACACGGGAAAACACTCCGCGTTGCGACTCCATCTGAGAATTGGAAACGCACACAGGCCAGTGTTTGGAGAAGGCGCAGAAGGCAAACCATTTAGATTTCATCGTCGCCAAGAAATTAACGATTGTCAGGAGGAAAAATGATCTTGTCGCAATTGCAAAGTCAATGGGCGAGTGGGCTCTGTGGAGGCTTCAGAGAGGCTTTCCGCGCAAAACGCCAGCCACGAAGAATAATGAAGTGCATTCATACGTTGGACACTCATTGGAAGTCATCCAGAGAGTGGCTCTTTGCCGGCGTCTGAGGAGAAGACAAGGTAAGATTGAGACTATCTACTCTATCAGTTCTCCAAATTCAGTCTTCTGAAATTCAATACAGAGTCAGTGAAAATTCCAAATTCGCTTCAGAGAGTTATAGAAAAAGATATTCATGGATAGAATGAAATCTGCAGAGTGAGAACACTCAAGGGGGAGATAATATCCTCACTAACCAACTAAAAACAGGGTTTTTCAGGCAGATAGAAAAGAAATATCGCTTTGGCATATATGGGGAAAATGCAGCCCCAGAAGTGCTCTACACACTGGAAAAATAATCTGATATAAAAGTTTTTTCGTTTCGGAAATATTTAATAAATTGTAGCCAAAAAACCAACAATAGTTTTCCGGGTAGCCCACAAAAGATCATTTTTGATCAACAAGGTGTGATCTAAAGTTCCCACAATGTTTTACAAAGCAGTAGATAATTTCAATATCTATCATTTGAGCCCGATTTGGGGGAAATCTGTGGAAAATTGAGCGAGATATGAGCGCATATGTGCGGCAAAGTGGGGTAAATAGGCTGCAGGAAGAGAACCTGAGGGTTTACCAGGCCAAGTCAACCCAAGACATCGAAAATTATGAAAAATTACGTGAAAAACTCAATTATAAAGTTGTGAGTTAGATTTTGGTTAGTTTTCAGTCGATTTTCAGTCATAACATCAAAATTATCAGCATATTTGTCTCATGAATCTTTCTATTTTAATGACTAGTTCGGAGAAGTGTTTAGAGTCTTTTTTCGTACAAATTGCGGAAGTGCGGTGTACAGATTTTGGCCATTTTATCTCTCCCTTGAGAAAAACCGGGAGAGCGACTGAGCGAGTCTCAGCGGAAATGACGCGATCATTGACGTTGAATTCAGCGTTGCATGCGCTCTTTTCCCCCCATTTCCCGTCAATCACATTTTATGTATGCAAACATCATAATTCAGCCACACATGGACTCGCGTAGAGGCGAAATTGCAGCAAACTCTCTCAATTTACGACTATTTGTGGGAATTGGCGGCACAAATCTGGCGGCCGCGGAGGAGATTCCGCCGTGTGCCTGCGGAGGATCTCTTTTCTGTGGCACCAGAGGAGCTGCGCCGCGATGTTTTGGATGTTCGTGATCGAGCGCGATCGCATGAGGCTTCAGAGCCCCGCGATGTGTGTGCCTTTTTCTTCCATTTCTTCTGTCTATTAAAATTCTCCCACTCCGCTTCATCCACATTTCATATCAACCTCTCTAGTTGACCCCTTTATAAAATTGCTGATGCTACTACTATACTGTATTTTATATAACCCCATACTCTGATGCCTGAGAACGAGTGTGAGAAAGACATCGCGATCGTGCTGAGACGCGCGCGCTCTGGCCAAACTCAGAGAAAAGAGAGAGAAAAAAAGAAGCCAAGACCGCTTGAAGTTCATCGAAATTGTGTGGCACAAACAATTTTACAATAAATAATATTAAATGTTGTGTGTACTACATAAATATACATATACGAGAGAGGGAGAGAGAGAGAGAGAGAATTTTATTTATAACCCACCCATCATTTTATGAATGATCTCGCGAGATCGCGGTGACGATCGCAATAAGAGTCAGCAATTAGTGACGGTGTCACATCAATTAGACCAACACCGTCGTCAATTACTGCGAATTTTGCAATCATATTCTCTGGCTCTCCAACTATTTCTCCTCCCAAGTCAGACGTGCAAAAGATCAGCGATCGTGGCGCGTGATTTGGCATCGCGAAAAAAAAGAGGGTGAAAAGATATTCAATTTCCGGTCACGTGAAGTTGTTCTTTTTGCGTCTCACCCTCAGTGATGTGAGAGAGTCTTGGCGAAATTTATAAAATGTCGAGTGAAGAATGATATACCGTGGTTGGCTTTTAATGTGTATAGGCGAGCAATTTTCGTTGAATGCTTGCCAAAAAACTCAACAAACAAACTCACAGAGTCGCGCTTTTTTTCCAACTCGAAAGAGGAGAAGAAAAAAAAACTTCTTTCATCCTCGCTAACACTTCTGGGCTCCATTGCTGCACGTTTCTCTCCCCCGTCATAATTAGCCATTAAAACCCCCCCAATGAAAAACAGGATAGGCTGAAGGGGGAGACTTATTAATAAACTCTCCTCCAATTCAATGCAGAGAAAGAGAGAGAATCTTGAGAATGGGAAATACAACCCGACAAGAGGATCACCGATCGATGATCAGTGGTTTTTCCTCTATATACAAATGCGACGATATATCATTTTTAGTACTCCACCCAGAGATTAAAATGAGCTATTTTGATTCTATTACTTCACTAGAGGAGAAAGAATATATTTCTGAACTAATTCCTTATGAGCAATAAATTTCTTCTGAAATAACAATTATTCAAGAGATGAGGAAAAACTTTCTCCATCGCCTCTATAAATTCTGTGATTTGTCCCTCTATCGTGTGGCCGCAGAGATTATTTTTTCTCCTCTCTGAGGGAGAAAAGTCATTAAAATTGAAATGAGTCGCCTTTCAAGTGATCCGAGGCACTGACTGAGCTGAAGACGTCTTAAGATCATGATCACTTCGTTTGACTTCCCACTCAAATTCAATTGCTAAATAATATTCCAGGATCTCCATTCAGAACAACTTCAGAATAGGTTTAATTCTGCTCAAATCAACTCAAGGGGGAGATAATATGGTCAGAAGTGGTGTACAGATGCAATATTTGGTTCACAGCTTTGATTTTCTGTTGATTATTTTACTCTCAGAAACTAATTTTTATCCAATTCCTAATTTTGACTTATTTTTCTAGGTTATGTGACTGATTAAGGCCTAAATAACATTTTAAAGAAGAAATTCTTGCGTCTAAATTGAAAGTATTTTCATTTTATTCGTAAAATTGCATATTTTACTCAATTAAAATCAATGCTAAAGTCTAACATAACCTCAATTTTTTTTAAAACTCTTGCGATTTTAGGTTAAAAATAGGAAAAGAAAATAATTTGAAGTATATTGATCAAGAAGAATACAAAAAGTACAATTTTAGCGGAAGAAAATCATAAATTATTGTATAAAAACGTGAGTTTTAAAGTTTTCAGTCAGATTTCAGTTATTTTTCGGTTATATTTCAGTTATTAATTGATTTAAGTCTTGTTCAGAACAGAGAGAGAAAATCATAGCAATCCAGTGAATTTTTTAAGTCACAAGAATTCGTACATTTTGCAGATTTTCCCTGATTTTCACAATGAATTTCATTTGCACCATTTTTCATAAATGAAGGAATAAAATAAATATAAATTGAAGGATAATTTTGATGCATTCCGGTCGCTTTGAAGTGAATCAAATTCCTGCAATTCTTGCCTGATTAATTATATCGTTGCTATTGATGGCCAATAAAGGCCTGAAGATGTGATTTTAGAGATTGTAAAATGTTTAACTAGTCGAGGAAATTGTGTAACACCCAGGAAACCCACTGAAACCCTCCTTGAAACTGGCTTTTCAGTCCAACATTCGCAGATTGAACGGCACTTGAACAATCATTCTCACAAATGTCGCTCCATTGATCCCGAGGTTCTCTTCAGCTCTTCTCATGCTGCCCGCCCATGTTTATGAGATCTTTCTCGGGTTTTTTGCCCGGCCGGAGGGGCAAAAAAAGAGAGAAACGGAAATGGTATGGGTAGGATGTCACTCAAGTATGTGTGTGAAGCTGAGAAACAAACACCAAGATCGGAGAGGCCTTACTTCCGGTGTTAGTTGATGAATTTCTGTGTTGTTATTTTTCTCGGGACTGAGTTTATTTTGCCGCATTTGCTTACACATTGGCACATTGAGTGATCTCTCGTCGATGATGGAGGAAGTGGCAGAATATTCCTGGCTTTTGGGTCGATTCCATCATCGACCTCAAGGCACATTTTGCCAGCAAAAACAGCCCAAAAATATCACCCAT